ACTAGAGTTCCTTTTGACCTACAGCTCTCAACTTCATAGGATGAATGGTCTTATTGAGCAGATGATCCCTATTGTTTTTGGGGTCAGTAGTTCAAAGGTCAAGGTCACAGTGACCGTTGGTCAATTTCTCGTTTCCGGATGATAACTAGAGTTCCTTTTGACCTACAGCCCTCAAACTTCATAGGATGATTGGTCTTATAGAGCTGATGATCCCTATTGTTTTTGGGGTCAGTAGGTCAAAGGTCAAGGTCACACTGACCGTTGGTCAATTTCTCGTTTCCGGATGACCCACACTATGTTACGACATCGCTTTAAACAAATAATAAACAAGGCTACTACAGCACACAACACACTTATTGACCATATCTACCAGAGAGGCTTGATTGTGAAAACGAGTGGAGTCATCCCAACACACTACAGTTATCATGATTTGACATACATTGAAATTTGAGTTGTCTTTCAATAGTGTAAAAATCTGACCATATGAACGTTTGTTTCAAGTATCATCAAAATCCTTCAAGGGTTGAAGAGTTATGGAGCAGACACAATTTCCTTTAATTTCGTTTGTGAAACTATATATGATATGACATTCAAGTGTCAAGTAGACCTTGACCTTGAACCAGCCATACGAAACATGTACTCTACACGTTCTCTGCATGTGGTGAATTTTTGTTTCAAGTATCTACCAGAGAGGCTTCATTGTGAAAACGAGTGGAGTCATCCCAACACACTACAGTTATCATGATTTTACATACATTGTAATTTGAGTTGTCTTTCAATAGTGTAAAAAAATCTGACAATATGAACGTTTTTTCAAGTATCATCAAAATCCTTTAAAGGTTTGAAGAATTATGGAGCAAGACACAATTTCATTTAATTTCATTTGTGAAACTATATATGATATGACCATCAAGTGCAATTTCGTTTGACGCCCGCCTGCCATACGCTGATTGAATAACCAGGTTTTCAAAATTGAATACCTGGTTAAAACAAACAGTTTTTAGGAAGCATCTTCTCATACAACCTTAACAATAGAAACCATCCCCATAGACAGCCTTCATTGAAGTGACTACCGGGTATTTACATTATCTTATCTCCATTTCCATTCCTGTTTCCATTCACAGTTATTCTCAGCAGTGGGGGAGACATGCGCTTTTTTACAAAAGCATCCTCTAGTTTAAATATTCGATCCCACTTCGGTTGTGTCCGTTTATTTTACGAGAATTAATATGGAGTATATCACTAACGTTTGGAAAACTCCCACTACCTTAATGAAGGTTCTCGTAACATCCGCAATAGCACAGTCGGTTAAGTAATTACCTAATGTATGAGAGGTCCGAGGTTCGATCCCTTTTTTGACATTCTTTTTAGACTTATTCTCTCTTTATTTTAGGTATATTTTAAAGAAAATTGTCAAGCGCTTGCAAAATTGTCTACACGGAATAAAACAACTAGGAAACACTGAATTGTCACATTTTGTATTGTATTTTACGGCACTGAAATTACATTTATTGATTATTATCCGAATGAATTTTCAGTATCAATTATATACAAAAATATAGTATTTACAAAAAAGAACAAAACATATTAAAAACAGAACAACCATAACTTCAAAAATTTTGAAAATGGTTATGAATAAGAAAAAAAACATGGACATACACTGTCTCGATCTTACATGATGCAGGACATTTTGATATTATATACCCGTGGTTTACCCTATTGCGCTATAACGGTCAGTGTAACTAATTCATAAAAACTAGATGAATTTAATCACATCTTACTGCGTACCTCTCACGGAATTTACCGAACAGTTTTCGAATATTAATATATTCTGTGCATTGACCGTATAATGAGTATGGAATTGACAGGTTAATAAAATCAAACAATAACTTAACTGTTAACTAAGATTACCGTAAATACCCATCCTATTACACAATAAAAAAAACAACTACATAATGGTTTTCTTATTAAAATAAACGATTTGCGTCTAATAATAATGGGTATTCGAATCATTTCTTTACAGTTCCTATGATAGTGTTAACCAGTTCCTGGCTTTGTAAATTAGAACCAATATGTGTCAAGAAAGGTAAGGTGTAGTAACCCAACAGGCCATATATATCTTGATAAAGTCCTATAAAATGACAAGTCCAAAACAGCAAAATTGAAAATGTTGAAGGCTTGGTTTGATGGACCCTGTTCATGGACGGTACTGTCAAGTGCAAACTACCGTCCACGCCCCCTAGCACCGGCTTAAGCAGAATTCAACATTTAACATGAACTGGTACAATTTTGAATTTTGAAACATCCGCAGATGTGTTCAACCTTCTTTAAATGATCAGGCGGTGTCGGGGATGGCACTCTTTTTCGGTGCCTGGGAGCTTTATATCTTTTGTCATTTGTATTCTATTTCTACTTTACAAAACATCCTACTTGATGATAATTGCAATTTCTGACATTAAACATTTAGTAAATAAACACAAAACACTTTTATACATGTATAGTTTTAATTTTTGTTTAAAAAGTTAGATTCGATATTATATCTACGTTACACCACATTGTCCGTGGGCTGTATTATTCCTCTGTAAAGTATAACAACAATGACCATTCAATAACGGTCTTTTCATAATCCATGCAATTTTATCACATTTCTAGCGATTGTGTTTCGGTTCAATTTTTTATACTATACAGTGCACATGTATAGAGATTTTGTGCTCTGTTATGTGCATATTATACATGTATTACACAGATCCTCTAATTGTTTTTTGACAGGTCTATATTTTTCGGATAGACCTGTTTAAACAAAAGAAAGTCCGTTATGAGGTCTATCTTTTTGCACGTGCACAGGTCTGTTCTAGTCAGACAGACCCAGTCATGAAAATCACGTGAAAAAATAGACCTACCTATGCCTGCGCAAAGAAAACATGAAATGCAATCATTAAAAATGAAAATAAAATGTAAATGATTGTCTTAAATAATCTGGATATTGTCCAACAATATTGACCTGGCACTTCATTAACTTTCGTAAAGGTCATTTGAGTAAATAAAATAGAAAGAAATAAGAATCCCTAAAGAGTAAACACTGACCAGTATCTATCGAATATATCGATATATTTGCTAACTTCAGTCATTAGTGAGGTTTGGTGTATTGGTATAGATGTCGGACTACGGATCTGAGGTCTCTGGTTCGATTCCTTACCATCAACAAATTGTGATTTTTGTTTATTGATTTTTTTTGTTTACTTTGAAATCGTTTTACTTCGCCTGGTTTTAGAATACCTTCTAATTATGTGGTGTTGTCATACACAATTATATGTTTTATTTCATTACAGTATCTTTCAACGGTTCTCTTTGTGACATTATGCAATCGTATATGCTTTAGCGCCTACACGCTATAAAGGCAGTTATTAAAAAAATATACACTGATAGTACACACAACAAAATGGTGTGCAATAGTTTTTAAGAGAATGGCAATTATAAAATTAAAAAAGAAAAGAAATAAATCGCTGAAATAGGATTTTAAACAGATCATAGGAATTCCTATGGGTACTAATTGTACACCCCTGGTCGCCGATTTGTTTCTGTACTGCTATGAAAGAGACTTTATGTTGAGTCTCTCTGAAGATAAACAACAAGATGTTATAGTCGCATTTAATAATACTTCCAGATACCTTGATGATATTTTTAATTTAGATAATTCTTTTTTGATCAAATGGTGTCTGACATTTATCCGCATACAACTTAATACAACTTAATAAAACGAACTCTTGAAATTTAGTACATGTACATCATTTTTGGATCTTCATATTACTATCAACAACAATTCTATTCACACGAAAATCTATGATAAAAGAGATGACTTTGACATTTGTATAGTTAATTATCCACATTTAGATGGAGACGTACCCCATGCAACATCTTACGGGGTTTATGTTTCTCAGTTAATTAGATTCGCTAGAGCTTGAAGCAACGTAAAGGATTTAAACGAGCGGAATATTTTAATTACCAGCAAGCTTCTAAAACAGGGCTACCGCTATCATAAATTACGGAAATATTTTACTAAATTTTACAATCGTAACTTTGATTTAATTTGTAAATTCAATAGTGATTTAAAAACTCTTCTGCGACAAGGGATTAGCCAGCCTGGGGTAAGTAACCAGAAGCATTCGTTAGAGTTACGATCATCGTTAAGCCTTGGTTAAGCTCTAGTTAGTTATTTACCCTCTAACCCAAAGCGTTCGTTATACCAAGAATGCTAACGAAACTGTCGTAAAATAACGAACAGCTCGGAGTACACGTTAGACCTTCGTCGAAGAAAAAAAAACAACGTGAGAAGCTATTTCAACAAATGAGTATGTATTATTTCTTTATTTTGTATTTCTTTCGTATTTTACAGATAATAAGTACTTAGTATGTTCTAGTCACAAGATAGGATTTGCAGCGATGTGATTTTTTCATTCAAAACTTCAAACGCGCTTGGCGATGGTCAAGTCTTATATAAAAATAACCCATATTATTTATGTCCACATGGCATGATTCAAGCTTAAAATGCCATAAATAGATACATGTTACCGGGGACCTTACCGACTTTTCATACTGCATACGTTTTCAAAATATATACTGTTTAATTTTTACAATGAAAACAATAATCGCGCAACCGTACTCAATAAACTTTAGTGAGCATTTCTTTCGTAAATGATTTTTAAAATATTTCCAAATATTTGTATAAAAATTATTTATTTATAAGTGGTGCGTTTATCACTCCAGACAATGGCCGCCTTGCTGTTAGCAGCTGCATTAGAGCGCCGTAGGAGACGGACTATTCCGCAGGTACGCGTTTTTCGAGATAGAGAAAATCCTCTCGACTTCATGGATGATGTTGATTTGATAAAAAAGTATAGAATGAACAGAAATGCCATTTAGATCTCTGCGAGGCGCTCAACAATGATCTAAGCCGTCCAACCAAAAGAAACAATGCACTTCCGGTATCTCTCCAAGTACTGATGGCATTGAGATACTATGCAACTGGAAGTTTTCAATCTGTAAGTGGTGATGGTTATAGTGTAAGCAGTATGTCAGTATCGCGTTGTGTACGCGATGTTTCATATTTTATAACGCGGCGTCTACAAAATAGAATCAAATTTCCGCTACTTGGTGAACAGCAACGACTGGTAAAGCAAAGATTTTACGAGATTGCACAGTTTCCGCATGTTCTTGGTACAGTGGATGGGACATTAGTTCCAATAAGAGCTCCCCATGATGATGAACATATTTACGTTACGCGTAAGGGATTTCATGCGCTGAATATTCAGGGCATATCTGACTCAAACAATATGCTTTTAAATCTAGTGGTTCGTTGGCCTGGTTCAACCCATGATGCATTTATTCTCGCTGACAGTGATATTTCAGAGGAGTTTGAATCTGGGCGTATTCAACATGGATGGCTTCTAGGTGACAGCGCACATCCCTTGAAAACATGGCTGCTGACACCAATTTCTGCACCAAGTGATGCAGCTGAACGGCGTTACAATTTTGCTCATAAGAGGACAAGATGCACGGTTGAAAGAACATTTGGTATCTGGAAAATGAGATTCCGATGTTTACATAAATCAGGAGGATATCTCAGTTTTTCACCAGCAAGATGTGTAAACGTAATAATGGCAACCGGAATATTGCACAATCTTTGTACAAGAAAACGCATACCTCTGCCTGACGATACAGACGTTGACGATAGCAACCAGCAAGCTGAGACTGAAAATGAACAAGAACAGGAAGTGTTTCAGGACGGACGGCCGGCACGGGCAGATTTGATCAACAGAGTATTTAGATAACTGACTGAAATTTCATATATATTAGAATGCTTAATCAATAAACATAGGGAATACAAAGCGACTTGTTGAGAGCTCTGTTATCTTATGGTTATTTGTGTTTTTGCCTCGCAAGTCAACACTATCTGTGTTGCATGTTTAACAATACATCACGTGTATTCTTTCATATATGAAATCAAAAGAATATAATACATGCACTACATTACTGTTTTAAACTTTTAATACTTAAAAAAAACGTAGAACTTATACTAGTTCTATATACAAAGTAAAATTAAAGAGTTCATCATAAACACATACATGTACACTGAATTAGCGCAACACAGTATATTGATAAATTTTGACGTTGTAAGTTATAATTAAATTCAGCGGAGTATATTAAGAAAACCATTATATATGTTCAATATACTTTGAATAAATGGCTTACCACTATTTTCATGGAATGAAAAAATATAAATCGAAACTTGTTTTGTATCTCAAAGTATTTTCATGCTAACAACATCCGAACATTTTTAAATATTTTCACCAGTGTGTAACAAAAGTATTGTAATCGAAGTTTTACAGAAAATGAAACTCAGTCCTTGACTAGCATCATTAAAATCAAAACAAAAATTATCTTGCTACAACATATTTGCAAGCATTACCGTATATATTGTACTTAAAAATATAGAAATGATGTGTAAGATCGGATTATATTTCACCGAGTGAGCACCACCAGGTATATTTCACGAGTGGCGCAGCTACGAGTGAAATTTTAACTTTTGATGTTCACGAGGTGAAATATATTTCGATCTTACACTAAACTAAACAAATTTCCTTTTTATTATATGCAGAGAAACGTTTAAGAAACATTTTAACCTAACACCAAATGAAAAATACGCCAAATATTAATACAATACATATATCCAACAACTTGCATGGATTTGTTTTCTTTAGATGCGTTTTACGCCGAACATATGATATACAAACAAACAAACATATGATATACAAACCAAAAGATAAATAAAGACTGTCAACTGTTTCTTTGAAGTAGCTGTGTGTTTCACAGATATATGCTTAACATTTGTACTTACAATAAAAAAAAACAAAAATACGAAAAAAAGATTACAAAGATACGATTTCACACATATTTGAATATTCCATCTGAAATGTGTCTAAATGTGGTACATGTGTCGTGTGTAAGAAAGTAGATTTGCAGGAATTTGATCTATCATATTATGTCCAAATCGAATCTTGCCGCAGTATTTGTTAACAATATTAGCCCACTTCTGTTTAAAATCTTTAATGCTTATATTGATACATTTTAAGTTTTGCATTTTTGAGATCATATACAGAAAATCATCTGGACCGACAGGTGCTGCGTACGTAATGATAAAAGTTTCGACCGAATTCAGTTTCTCAGCAAGAAAACACTGCTGTTCAATATTAAATGAGGCACCTTTAATTTCAATATATTTCAAATGTGACAGTACCGGAAGTAAAAGTTCAATAACATCCATAGGAGATCTTCCGAACACCGAAATAGTTAGCTGTCGCAATTGTCTAAGATTGGCAAAAATACATCTATTAATGTTGATTAGATCAACATCCAACCGCAAAATCACCAACTTCCTCATATGCGGTATTACGGTGGAGAAATCAGGAACTGACAAAGGCTTTACAAGTGTGACATTTCTAAAAAGTGCCCAAAACCAAGTTGCATTTGTAATTTTCTGCCATTTTTTACACACCGCTGGAATGGTACTTAAAATTTCGTCAACTGGAATCATGACAAAAATCATTCCTAAAACTTCTGGCGGCAGCTCGGTTCTTACCTGTAAAATAATAGAAATATATCACTAAACGTAAAACTGCTTCAATCTTAAAAGTTAAAGTTGAAAATTTACCGTTTAGCAGTTAGTATATATGAGCCGTGTCACGACAAAACCAACATAATGGGTTTGCGACCAGCATGGATCCAGACAAGCCTGCGCATCGGCGCAGTCTGATCAGGATCCATACTGTTCGCTTTTAAACATTTTAACAAGTACAGAAACTGATAGCGAACATAATGGATCATGATCAGACTTTGCAGATGCGCAGACTGGTCTGGATCAATGCTGGTCACAAACGCACCATGTTGGTTTTGTCGTGACGCGGCTCAATATATTATGTTTTACTATACAAAGCTATTGCATACTAGTATAGATGATACTTTTGACTGATAAATATTTCACAGACTAATTACAAGTTGCAATTGTTTTCTCAAATGACATAGTCACGAGTGAAAATATAAAAGTTGGTGTTCACGGGGGAAATATAATTTCATTTTGTAAAAAGAAACAAATTTTCTGTTAATGATTTTAGATTTACATTTTACTGATATTTGGCGCTTATCTTCAAACTATGACGTCGGAAAGTTGACATTACAATTTTTAAATATAAGATAGTTTAAACATAACTTTGGAAATATATGTGAACTTGCAGTTATAATATACAGTATATTATATACTTATAAATGAAATATGGAATTAAATGCATATATTATCATTTTCCGCATATTCACTGTCAAAAAATATTTTTTCACTGCAGTAAAACATATCTTCCGTATTTTCACTGGGGTCTTGCCGGACTACTTTCTTCTAAATTCAGCCAATGCATAAAATTAAAGGGAAAGTTATAATGTCAATAATGAGAAAAATGTATATAATAAAAAGAAAATTTAAGATTCCGCCACTCATGAAATATTTATTTTCATACCACACGATGAAAATAAATCGTGTATTTATAGAAAAAACATAAATATCCTCTATATTTTTAACATTATGGTTGTGAGTATTTCAGATGAAAATATTCGCATATATAAACGATTGTTTCCATCACCATAATAAGTTCGACTACAGTGAAGTAGTTTGATAATTTAATTGTGAAATTCTAAGATTTTTTTTCACTGGTATTACATTATAACATAGCATGCAAACTGTCTTAATAATCTAATAATTACGCAAACAGTATGCACTCTTATTAGGGCTGTGGATACACAAATACACGTCATTTAATAAAGGTCCTACCTGTCAGACATGTATTCACATCTATGTAAATAGCATACCTAGTTTTAAGGATGTATGAGTATAGTTCAAATCATATTATTCTAGGGTGTATGAATATAGTTCAAATTATCTGTTTGCTCTAACTTACGTTTTGTTCTTTTCCTTTCTTGTTTATTCGAAAATGAGTTAACATGTATATAATAAAGTAGTCGAAATATCAACGCGATCAGAGCTACGCCCTGCGCGTTGAACACAATAAAGACCAATTTAGTGGTGGACGTTCCGACTCAAAATTGAGTCGGAAGAAAAATTCTTAAAAAACCAATAAAACAACAAAATTGGAATGAAAGAATTAGTTACCTTTGAAGATATATTCCTTAAGAAGTAATTTCTACACACTTTATTATATGACATAGGTTCATAAGACAATAATCCTATTTAAACTACACCCTGTAACACATCGATACAATTTCCCTATTCGCCATTGAATGCGTGACGTCATAGCAGTAAAGTGCACAATGCGGAATCATGTACGCGGGTTTTTACGACGATAATTTTATAGTGATTTTTAACTGCTATATATCTTATGCCCTTAATTGACATAGTTATCAAAATTACGATAAATATTCAATATTGCAGTTGTAGTTCAGTCAGTTGGGTTATATTTATTTTACGTGAAACCTTTATTTTTTCTGCTCTTCATAGTTTGTAGGCCTATGATTTCGTGTCTTTTTTTCTAATATTGATTTTAAGCCGACGAATGTATTTATAAATAGAAGAGATTTTCTTTTTTTTCCATTTTCTTTTCATTAGTACGGATCAATATTTTATCTACATTTTGGCCATATTACGGGTATTTAATTATTACGTATAAATAATAAATTATTAAATTTACCTGACTGTTTAAAACTTTAAAAATTGATTGTATAAGTATTTTAACCGAAAAAGAGTTGTTTTCACTAAAAACAACTTTGTTGTCATTGTTTAGCAGTACCACTTTCCAAAATTACTAACATATTTGAAAAACATAAGTCATTGATTATTTAGACAGCTGTAGATTTACACTAAAGAAACAAAACGAATAAGAATATCGTAGACCAACCTTTTTATTTGTGACATTAACATATAAGACATTCATGTCAGCAAAGATGTATCTTTAATTTTCTTTTCAAAAAGTCTTTGACAATATCTGAGTTACCAATACAACTACAGAGTTTTTTACAATTAGAGCAGCACGAGCATGATAAGCATATGCAAATTTCACATGTTAAATCAGGACAAACAACTCTTGTAGTAAGAGATTCTGTCATTGCTGCCGTTCTCAACGTGTCTAACACACTTTGTCGCACACAACTTTCAGATCTGACAACACTTTTCATTTTTTCGGAAGTTATAGTCTTCATTAAAGATCTAGGGAATGGATACATGATTGCCAATGACGGTCTTCCATCACGCCCAGCCCGACCAACTTCCTGCCAGTACATCAGCGTATTTTTTGGTGCTCCCCAATGTATGATAATCTCGACATCATTGATGCCTACACCCATGCCAAAGGCGACAGTACATACAAGTATTCTGATCTGACTGTCACTCTTCTTAAATTCATTCAGAATCTCTTCCTTTTTTCTTTCATCTGTACTTGAATGGTACATTTCTACAATCCTACATTCATAATCACTGTCGAGATTATCGGTGAGCCATGACCAAATGTCGTATACAGCTGAGTATGATCTACAAAAATATTAATTTATGCATATAAATGAAGAATGAGTGGGATGGAGGATATGATGATGATAATAATGATAATGTGATGATTGCAGAGGGGCATAGCTATAAAATTAACTGATTTTGAACTGACGTTGGTAAGATTACAAGTACAATTCAGGATAAAATTAAAAGACTTTCGGATTATTATCATTGTCATTTACAAGGTAATGGTTTGAAAATTATGTTCTTGTATTTGAAACCTGTCAAAGTTATATAGAGTTATCAAATGCCCGATGTATATGAAGATATAAAGATGGTTAATAATGCTTAGAACTTTATATTTATATTAATTATCTGTGTAGCGAACTATTGCAAAACAAAGAAGATTGTGATGATGGCATCTATGAAATATAAATGACCAGTAGCTATTATTCTTATAATTACCAATATATACACAAAAATGAAGCTTACCTGCAAAACACTATCACCTTCTTCATGCTTTCTCTGGAAACAGCTGCTTCTTTTAACCATTTCAGTCCCAACTCACAGTCTGGAGTTGACGAGGTTTGTTATTGCAAGGAATATGTTGGGTCTGGAATACAATTCATATCAATTAGTATCAATCAGGATGCGTATTGATATATATTCTTTTGCAAATCATTTTAAACAATGACGTTTAGCTACAAATCATTGCGTTTTGGTTATCTTTTTAGTGTCACATCGACCAATTTTAAAGATATTGTCTCGTTTTCAAGTATAAATGGACGAGATCTAGAATATGTTCTTTTTTATTTGCTTGTAGGACGGTGTTAATTTTTAATGTATTTACCTATCTGGCAGTTTAGCAACGCAGACAGCAGTGTCGTCTATCATCAAGTACTGGCAGATATCCTTCTGAACCTGCTCTATAGCAGTTGCCGTTAGGGCTAGAAGAGGAGCGTCCACCAGGCTCCTTACTATTGCTATCTGTCGATATTCTGGCCTAAAGCTTTCGCCCCTAAATATAAAAGACTGTGAAAATGAGCATTTTAAAAATTACGAACATTTATAAACGGTAATGAAAATTTTTGCGACTCTCATATAAATATACATAATCATTCTTACCATTCAGAGATACAGTGTGCCTCGTCACAAGCAAGCAAAGAAAGTCGTTTGTTAAACGTCTTCGACATGAGAAGTTTTCGAACTGCGGATGTCTGTAGTGCTTCTGGTGTGCAGAATACGATCGATACGGGTTTCTTCTCGACGTCTAATAAAAGAATTGCAAAAAATAAATAAATAATAATAATAATAACTAATGTATTGTCATAAGTGAGCGTCTCAATGATTTTAAAACACGGATGCATTTAATATTTAACAAGGGTGTTCTTGCGGTTTCCGTGATTCAAATAAATTACAATGCTTATTTATTATTTTATACCGATTCTTACCTAGCATTGCCCCTACGTCTGAAGGCGACAAAATCGTCGACGAAATTCCAATATTAGAAAGATGCTGTTGTTGGTCTTGCATAAGGCTGACAAGTGGTGAAACGACCATTGCAGTGTGTTGAATCGAAGGATCTCTCTGCAACAGATATGACTTGCGTAATAAGTTATATGATTACGTATTGAAATTATTTTTTTTACTAATATGCAATAAAATTAAAAGAAACTTGGTGTTATCACGTTTTGTAATGGTGTATAAGAATATGATGATTTAAGTGTTCCAAACACTTATAATTATCATTGGAATAAAACACAATTGCATTTACATTACATATTGAATAATTGTACCTGATCAAAAAGAAGAGGCGGAACAACATAACACATGCTTTTTCCATATCCAGTAGGCAGCAGAACTGATGCATCCTTTTTATCCATAACGGCTTGAATAACGCGCTTTTGTTCATCTTTTAAATCAAAATTAAAAGGATATATTGCTTTTAAAGACTTGAAATGCTCATCAATATCCATTCTTTGTAATTATAACGATTAAATAACAAGTGTCACACTGTCGGAACCTGTTAACGCTTCTAAATTATGTGCAAATGAAATGATTGCGTAACAAGTATCTCTAGGTTACCGATGAAAGATAAGCGGCACATCAAAGGGCATCACTCCGCGTGGAAGCTTCAGCAGAAACAGCTAGGTTAAATCAGTTTTTGGGAACAACTCACAAAACCTATGAAAGAACGAAAGTTCAAATCGTTCCAAAAATTGAACATTTTAGAAAAGATAAATAGGGACAAGTTTATGACAAAGATGAAGCTATTGTCATGTAAGCTTGATCGAGCTCGTAGAGTCTCTTCTTAAACAGGGCTCAGTCCTTTGAATACGGGGCATGATCCAGAATTACCCGATATTTCTTCACAATTTTTATAATTATACAATTATTGCAATTCAACTTTTACCATTGTGAAGCTAAACATTTTATCTTATAAATTTGTTATTTAGATCTTTCATTATAACTGAACATAACTTCAAAATTCTCTTTTTGTAACCATAGTAACGTCTATGCGGCGCAGGTCAAAATTTATAACATTAAATTGTTTTTATATTCACACTATTTGATGAAAACTTTGTGCCGTTTTAAGTCTATACTGTATATTCGTCAAATTTTTATAAAACAGAAAATATTTATCTAAAGCTCAGTTTTTTTCACTAATGTTGTAGGCCATTTTCAATAATAAAACATACATCTATGTAAATTTCTCTTTATAAGTAATATGTAACCTATAACCTGTATGTTCAAAGTCACATTTATGAAGCATTCTGTAAAACAACATTATCCATACTTTTGAATACTATGTTTATCTATGTCTCTGGTTTAATTGCTATAAACTTTGTTATAAACTTTGTTCACTGATTTTTCAAGTTTTTTCCCTAAATACTGTATGATATTGCAATAAAGTTTGTTTACTGTGTCTTCAATTATTTTCTTTTAAAAAAAAAACACTAAAATAAATTTCTCAAAATTTAGTAGCATGTTACCGCATAACGGTAAAGCCACTAAATTTTCGAAGTACACCTTACGGTACAGTAGTGCAACTCATCCTCGGGGAGGTAGGGAAAGGTAACTTTCAAAACAAAAAGAGTAAATATTGAGTTTTGACGAATTGCGGTGCCTTTTCTTGATTGTTTTTTCGCTAAATAATGTTAAATGATATATTTTATGTTTATTAACGTATTATTACCAAGGAATTTGTATATTTGTGTAAAAGCGTTTTCCACCCTATAATAGACCTTTCATGTTTTTAACCTTTGGGATTTTGACCATGTCAAAAATTATTTAAAAATCCCGTAGGTTAAAATATTTTGACTAATAATAAAACTAAGGTAGGAGGGGACAATGCTGAATACATTTTATACTTATTAAACAATAACAACAACAACAAAAGAAATATGACAGTTTGAATAATTGATAAAGCTTATGCAATGTGGGTCAACTTTGTATCAGCGGTCACGGTCAAAGGACAAATAATCAGTTTGAAAATGAATTTTAAGACGACGTTCTGTCAAAATAAAATACTGACGTTGACATAATTTTAGATCATAGAATGAAACACCATAATATGTGTATCCTACAGTAATCAAATATTGAACATTGGGTCAAATCAAAACTATTTTTTATAAAAACACTTCTTGTGTTCTGGATTGACGAATACCTTACAAAGACGTGTATGTCTGTGCTTCCGTGAATTGGTCAGCAAAATGGTTGTTTAGAGAAAGGTCCCTCTGGCCAACTAATCTAGTCAAAAGTTCAATAACTTTTTCTTCTTTCTCAGCTCTCGACTTTTCTATATCAAAACGTGACTTTGCAATGTTTAACCTTTCTCCCTCAATGCGAAGTCTTTCCTTTTCAATGGATAAAATGTCGTCTAAAAATAGGTGACTTCCCGTCTTCTTTCGTTTTTTGTCAAGTGAAGGTGTTTTTTCTAAGCACCTCTTAAGAGACTGCACTTCAGGTTCTTGGTCGATTATAACCGTATCACCCCTATCAGAATTCCCTGGCGTATCATAAGTCTCTAATGTGCTGACAGCAAAAGCTGTTTCACTGTAGTCCGAGTTTGGATTTTCTTTTGGTTCTTCATTGTATATGTCAGAAAAATTCTGACTCGGCTCAACTTTTAGGCACTTTCTAGTTGGGTGGTTCCAATATTCCTACTTGAATAATGTTGAATCACCCTTAGGATATGTTGCCTGCTTTTTAAATTTGTCTTTTGACGTCCTATCTGTGATACGCAGGCTTCGTAACCTCAGATCCCCTTTCAAAATTCTATTTTATTTAGTTCTGCCCATTGTTTTCTCGTTTAGGGCACACGCATTTTTTTACTTGGGGACCATATGCCGCTTTTCATGGAATGGCACTACCGTGTCACATTGAAGGTTCCATGATAACCGCCATATGAACACATCTGCGGATGTTTCAAAATTCTAAATTTTACCAGTTCATGTTAAATGTTGAATTCTGCTTAAGCCGGTGCTAGGGGGCGTGGACGGTAACATGCACTTTCCAGTACCGTCCATGAACAGGCTCAATCAAACCGAGCCTGCAACATTTTCAATTTTGCCGTGTTGGGCTTTCTTTAGGGATTCTGTATTTATCAATTTTTTGGACTCCCCAGCGTGTCCATCCCATCAGGTAAACCAGAAACTGCAATTTTTCCCAGAATAACTAATACCTTCTCTTCCAACAGACTTAAATCAGGCAAAGTATCAACACCACCACCAGTTTTGGTTTGGCTTTTTTTCTTTTTAGATGCTTTGACCTTGACAGTGCTTGACCAATCATTCCATTTTCGCCGTATTTCGTCAACCGTACGAGTAACCTGAGAGACAGCATTGATCTTGTTTGTCACTTCGCCCCACGACTTTTTCTTTTTCTCAAGAGATAGAGTATCACTAAATTTACCAAATAATGTAATTTTTCTCAGACCTACCTCATTACAAAGTATTTCAAGTCATCTTTTTTCGAAGCGTGGTCGCCTTTTACCTTTCTCTTCCATTATTATTTGTAGTGCAATGTACTCTATGTGTCTATGACAGATGGCGCGAATTGCTGTGTATACCCTTATCGATTACACAACGATTTCGTCATGAATTTTAACTAACGGTTGATTAGCGATTACATAACGATGCTTTCTGGTTATGCAACAAAAACAATCGTTAAAATGACTAACGTGTTCGTTACGCCATCGCTAACGCTTTCGTTAGCGTGATTTTAACGAAAGCTTCTGGTTACTCACCCCTGGTTTTTATGGCGATGTGATTTACAAACTTCGTAAGATTTTGGGTCATGGTAATTTTTCTGCTGTTTTTACTAAAATCATTAAACATTTTATTAAAAGAGGTTATGACCCGACTGTTTTAAGACATACTGCATGTTTAGTGTTTAACCCTTTTACAGTTGGACGCTACGCTTTCCTCTTTTGATTACATCTGACGGACCAAGTGGGAGACTCTTTGGGAATTCTGTATTTATCTATTTTATGATCACATCCGTGTTATTTGTGCCGTGTGGCGGCTGTAAAAAGTCTCCCCGTACATTTAATCAATGATGTTATATTTTTGATCCTTGAAGATCGTTCAGCACGACATTATTGTTGTGCTTGTGGTATTTTTAGTTTCAACTTTTCGGCATTTTCTAGTTGGGTGGTCCAATATTCCTACTTGAATAATGTTGAATCACCCTTAGGATATGTTGCCTGCTTTTTAAATTTGTCTTTTGACGTCTTATCTGTGATACGCAGGCTTCATAACCTCTGATCCCCTTTCAAAATTTCATTTTATTTAGTTTCGCCCATTGTTTTCTCGTTTAGGGCACACGCTTTTTATTACTTGGGGACCATACGCCGCTTTTCATGGAATGGTACGGAAGTATCACATTGAAGGTTCCATGATAACCGCCGTATGAACACATCTGCGGATGTTTCTAAATTCAAAATTTTACTATTTTCACGTTTAAATGTTGAATTCTGCTTAAGCCGGTGCTAGGGGGCGTGGACGGTAACTTGCACTTTCCAGTACCGTCCAAGAACAGGCTCAATCAAACCGAGCCTGCAACATTTTCAATTTTGCCGTGTTGGACTTTCTTTGGGGATTCTGTATTTATCTATTCTATGATGGATAGTTCTTACTGAATTGTCTTAATGTTCGTCTGCCTTGCTTCGTCGGGCCCTTGTAGGTGATTTTCTTGTTGCTCTGTCTTCCTTTAGGACATTGAGTACTTTTGTTATGGTCATTAAGTTTACTTGTATATGTTTCTACATGATCATTTTAGTGTTTTACTTATTTAACCTTTTGTAACCATTGACAACTGTTAGGAATTTTCACTTGGCGGGGATTCATTTTATTTACACTGTCTCGTTTATAGGAGCATGGTGGGGCTAAGAGCGAGGTTTGGTGCACCATTAACCGGTTTAAACTCCCAGCAGTCATTATTATGCTGTGACCGTTCCAAGGCTGGGCGCCCCTCTGTGTTCCTCAGATGTATGTCTATGTTGTTTCATACTGTTTTGGTGACACTTTTTGCTTGGGTCCTTTGTGTTTCTCGTCTACGGTCAGTATCTTCCCCATTACCCCTAGTTTTTATTTCTTTGATTAACCCCCCCCCCTCCCCCTCGGTCTCCTGTCCTACTTCCCCTTTGACTTTGTGGGCCTGTTATTTAATTATTTATTTGTTTTCTTTGAATTCCTAATCAGTTACAAATTATTTATCATTTAGTGATTAACCTGTTCGTACTCTGTCTTTACCCTGTCCTGTTTTTGTTTGGGGTCCGCCTGGGCTCCTTGCTATATGGGGGGGGGGGGTTGCGTTCATTGAACGCCGTCTTTCCTTGTTGATCTTGTTTATCATATTTCGAACGTGCTAATTTTAGTCTACAAGCTGCAAGTGAAACCACTTAACCAACTGCGCTAATAGGGATTTAAATTTACATCATTTTAACAATTGGATATTGACATTCATATCGATTTGCAAGTAGATCGTAAAGTTTACAAAATATACCGACTACAGGGTCAAATGCAAGAGTGCCAGGTCAATGTTGTTGGGCAATACATTTTAAACAAAATAATGTTTATTGAGTACTCCGAAGCACATCAAAGTAAGGACATGCATATAAAAGTACTTAAAG